GTCTGCTAAAAGTGAGAGTGTCCTGTATCTCCCTGATTTGGAGTTGCCCTTAAGACTTAGAGAGAATGAGAAAAGCACAGAAGGAATTGCATGCATAACCTTTCCCAGCGCTGGTGCCTGCGCTCCTCCTGGTCCTGGCTGTTGGTGTCTGCCAGTCTGTCTGTCAGACCTCCATGGATGCTGCTGGCCTCCTCAACTCAAGTCTAGCAGTTCTAGCAGAGCCCCCCAGATCTGCGTCACCTAATCTTCAAAGCTGAGCTCCTGTTCACAATGGCTTCATCCTGCCCCTACCCATTAGCGAGGGTGGTGTTCCCTTAATGAGCTAGTCCCCTGCCTTGGCTGGCGCCGAGCTGGTCACACCTGTTTGCCATCAGGGCTGTCTGGGCCCAGCCCCAGCACTGGGCTGCAGGTGGTGGGGCTGGATGAGGGGTGTGTGGGGAGGGCCGGGTTCCTTATGCTTTGTGCCCTACGCTTGTTGGAGGGGGCAGTTTCTTGTATCCCTCCTCCTCCCACACTGTTCTTTCTAAGTGGGGGAGGGCTCTCTCCTTTCTTTTTTGTTATTTGGAAGGAGTAATAAGGGAACTTGAGGAATACCCCATCTTTTCTAACTCCTGCCTGGAGTTAGAAGTAGTGAGGAGCTAGTCAGGCATCTTTGAGGAGGGTTTGATGTTCTATGCTGATGACCCTAGGGCCCAGTGTGATAGGAGCAGCGTCACATGGTAAACGCTGAAGGCGGAGTCCCTCTCCAGCCCTCGGCCCCCAGTATTTGGAAAGCGATTGTAATCCCTCAGTTTAGAGCCCACGCAAGACTGGGGGGCCCTTGCTTAAAGGGGGCCCCTTGCATTCATGAAGCTGAAGGAAGTTTTGATTTGGTTGAAAAAATCTCATTCCTTTTTATGGCCTGGACATAATTGGCTCTTTTCTATTGGCCATCAGTGATGTCATTCCGACCCTCATAAAGAAGGGGAAATCACACCTGTGGACTCGGTGCATAAAATTTCATTGGGCAGCAGTAATAAGCATGGCCAGATGATGTTTGGGCAGTTGAGGAGCTCTGTGCCCAGTGATTCCAGCTGCACGGAGACCTGGGCACCATAAACCTGCCTGCACGTTCATGCCCGCAGGCTAGTCCAGGGCCCACTGCCAGTGGCTCTTTTCCTGGGATCAGTATCTGGTAGGAACTCACGGCATTCAGACCCTTTGTGTCAGGGGGACTTTTGCCCTCTTCCTTTCCAAATTGGTGGAACCATGTACTCCCTGGTACTCATGGACCCTAGCCTTAGGCTCCTAAGAACCCTGGAGCCAGGTGAGACCTTGAGCAGTAACCACCATACTTACCATGCTACCTGCCTCTCTAAGGCCCCAGCCCTTGCCTTCCCAGGGACTGTAAAGAACTCCGAGTGCCTGTGCATGACTGATGCCTTGCGCAGTCGGAAGGCTGAGATCCTACTTCTCGTTCTCCCCTTGGCTTGTGTGATTGAGCAAATCCTTTTTCTTCTCTGGGCATCACTTTCCTGTTTTATGTAGGGGATGACAACTACTCTGACCTACCTTTCTCATAGTTTCTCTTGGTGCTCTCTGAGCTGGGGAGGGTTCTGTCATAGAAATGTGTAGCTGTCTTCCCATGAGGCACCTGGAAGTTCAAGTTCTGGCATTTGGCTCTGTGTCTCTTGTGAAGATGGGCCTGGACCCTGCCGCATCTCGACTGCTTGTGTCTTAGAGTCACAGGGCTAGGACCAGCCGCAGACTGGAGGACTCAGCAACCTGAATGCCTGTGAGTCTGCAAACTGCATGTGTACCTGCAAGTCCTGGAGCCTAAGTGAGAATTATAGTCCCGCCCTCCTCTGCTTCAGTCAGCCACGGGGTCCAGATAGCACTCAGGGCTGCTGCTGAGCTGTGTCTGAGGCTGACCAACCGGCCTGATGGTCTGTCTAGTCTGTCTTTGGTGTGGCCCCTCTGATATAGGTCTTCCTCCAAGAGGATCAGGTAGGATTTTACTGTGCCAGACCCTTCCTACCTGGGTAGAAATGTCTACCTTGGAAATCTTGCCAAAGAGGGAGCCGCCACCCCCTTGCCCTGTGCCCCCGATCAGAGTTGGCCACAGCCAATAGGACTTCTGGTCCGTGTCATCTAGAAGAAACTGGGAATGGCTAAGGGAGAATATGGTAGGTGGCCCAGGACCCCTGCCTTTTGCTGGCCGGTCCCCCTGACCTGTTTCTTTGCAGATTCTGCTGCTTCTGGTGGCCCCTTCACTCACAGACCTTAATGTGGTTTTTCAACAATAGCTGAGCTCAGCAAGCATTTTCACAAATAACAAGGATAGGGAACATGAAAGAAAAATGGAAGGAAATAAAGTTATCCAAACAATACAGTTCTCCTTAAGCAACCACATTGTAGCTCCTAAGGCTATCTTTCAGCCTTCAAAACCTTGCCTAGTATCCTTATATTCTTGGTCCTTGGTTCCCTCATGGGGACGTGTTACCTGGATACTCCTTCATCGTGGTCTCAGCCAGAACTTCCCTTCTGGGAAATTGACTGGTTGTAATTAATGTCCCTGTGCCACCTGAATATTTGAGAGGAACCTCCCCTTCAAGTAAGATATCTCGGGTCTTAGAAAAGTAAATTCTTAGTGTACTGCCTGAAACATGGGAATCATTTTCCTCTCAGTGTCTGCCAAATAATGGAGTAATGGAGGGGAGGCTGGACTGCCCTGGAACTTTCTGGGGTGGAACCAGTCATCTTAACTGGATTCTTACTACCAGACTTCCTCAAAAAGGAGTTTATACTGTGGTCTGCACTTTCTTATCTCTTACTCAGTTTGACACATTGCATGCTGCCCTCTGCTCCCACCAACCCACTGATGCCAAATTCATTGGGTTTTTCTCAGCTGTCATTTTGCTTGACCACTCCATGGCATTTGACACTAATGACCTGTAATTTAAGCTCAAAAATCAGTTGTATATATTCCAGAAAGGGGAAGTGTGCTTTTAGGTTGTTTAGGTTGACCACAGGTTGATATAAAGTGAGGTCAAAAGAGCATGAGTGACTCTGGGTATCTGATACCCTGAAAAAGGTCCAGGAGCTCTGTCCTCTAGGAATGAGGGTAGGTTGGGTGAGTCCTGACTCATGGTACATTATCTCCTGTGGAATTCTGGAAGGAGATGAGAAGGGACCTCTGGGGAAAGCTTCCTGGGCCCTCAGATCTTGGGAGTATTCTGTAAGGAAGAGATGGAAGTCTCACTCTCTAGTTTCTAAAGACTCAGAGAGAGACAGATTTTAGTTTAGTATTAAGAAAGGATATTCTAGAATTGAAGGAGTCCAAAACTAGGGCTGGATTGCCACATAAAGTAGTGAGTTCCATGTGTGTGGCGATGGTCTTCTAGGGTGACCAGATTTCATTTTTGCTCAGTAACACTTCCGAGACATTAGCCTGGGCCTTCTGCTCATCTCATTCCATACTCTTCCTTGTTGATCTACTCTCATGGCTTTAATTTCATTTAAATTACATTAATGATTTAGCAGTTTATATCTCCAGTCCAGACCTCTGCTCAAAACTGGATATGCAGCCGCCTCTGTAGATATCATTCCCCTGCCACATGTCTCCTAGGCACTTTGAACTTAGCAGACATTGAGTGCCCACCATGTGCCATGCATGTACGTAAAACTGCATTCCCAAACTTGTGCCTCCGTCCAGTGGTGCACCAGGGGTGAGGCAGTGAGCAGTCCACTGTGATTTGGGCAGAGAATTTAAAAAGTCATAAAATTGACTAAATACTGTTTTGCTCTGGGTGTCCGATATCCTCTCGGTGCCCCTGCCTCCCTCTCTGTGTCTGACTCAGGGAGTAACATGAAGCTAGCCAAGCCACAAACCTTTGAATTGGGCTCTACCGCTTCCTCTCATTGGACGCCCCCCCCCATCCCATTTGGTTGCCAGGGCCTCCTTCACATCTCATGTCTGTTCCTTGCTTGTTATTTCTACAGCCTTTGTCTAGCTCTGGACTACTACCCAGCTTTTTCAGGGTATTGTTTTTGTCGTCCCCAGATAAATCTTTGTAAATCACAACTCTTCAGAGGCTCTCCATTGCCTATGGCCAAGCTCTTCTCTTAGCAAGAAAGTTCTATGTTCTTTCCCAGCTACTATTTCTGGTATTTTCCTCCATTTTTCATGTATCCCAGTGCTCCAACTTAAGGCTGTTTAGTCTATTTCTTTTCTTGTCCATCCCACTGAACAAATTGTGAACCCCTTGGAGGCAGGGGCTAAGTCTTAACGTTTTGAGCCCCAAGTGCCTGTCTATTATTAAACTTCAGTAAATGTTTGGTTGAATGGATTTATGTGGGTACACATAGAGGGAAAAGACCACTTATAAATAATAAGAAAGGGCTTTTGGTTTAAATTCTGACCTCTTATCCTTTTGCATGGTCTCTTCTCTATCAGCAGAAAACCTCTTGCTAGAGACCTAAACGTGAACTGGAGCCCCTGCCCAGCTATCACCAACTCACATGCTCCTCTCTCTCTCCTCCCATCTTAGATCCCTGCCTCTCTGCTCTAACAAAACAACTACAAACTGGTACATTGGAAAGAACGTAGGCTTTGGGGTGAGATAGACCTGGGTTCAGTTCTTGGTACTGTCAGTTTTTAGCTGTGGGACTTTCGGTGACCCCTCTGAATTTCATCTTCTCATCTGTAAAAGGTAGGCAACAATGCCTCCCAGCATCGTGCTGAGGAACCACATGCCAATGCAAGTAAGATCCTTAGCATTTTGCAGGCCATCAGAAAATAGTAGCTGCTGGTGTTAGTTCGAATAGAGGCTCCAGGTGCTCACATTTAGATCTGGAACCCAGTGTCCAGGGTGCTAGAGGCGGGGTGCCTTTCTTGGGCAGGGTGGGACCCTTGGCTAATGGGTTAGCCTTCTGAGGAGGTGTGTTTGCATTTCCTAGATTCAGACTCCATACCTGGGACATGGGTGTTCCCAACTTGTTCTCTTTTCCCTTTCTTGTAGGCTCCCAGGCCAGTGCCAGTACTTGGGCTTGCCAGTGGCGGATTACTTCAAGCAGTGGATTAATCTGAAAAAGGTACTGTGTCTGAGCACCATTCGGGTGCTTCCTCTGGGTCTCCTGTCCTCAGATCCCCTCCCCCCTTGCTTTCTTTATTCATCTCTGTTCTCTTTTTGTTGTCATCTCTTTCCTTTTCTTTTTGTTCTCTTTTCTCAACATCCCTCCTTCCTCTTCCCTAGCTAACATGCACTGGAAGGGTGTGGACCTTTCTGGGAGTGAGGAGCTGTTTGGGGATCAGGCTGCAGGGTAGAGTATAACATTATCCAAAGTGGTGTCATCCAGATGTGCAGAGAAGTCCCAGTGAAGGGGACTTTCTAGGTTCTTGCTTAGAACTAAATCACTGGGCTGAGCTGCCTTGTCTTTAGGAGAAATGTGGTGCTAGCTGAGCCTCTGGGAAAGTATCCTTCTTTGATGTGATCATGAGTGTGGCCTCTGACTGTCCTGAGTGGCTCTGGTATCACCCTCTGGTTGGGAGGTAGAATTGGTTCAGGCTGGCTTTGGTCCTGCCTCGCCCTAGCAGAGCCTTGCTCATGTGACAAGGACCATGGAAACTACAGCCCAATTCCCTTTGAGTATGAGGAAGGAGACTGGCCCTAATGCAGCACCAACCCTAATGCAGCACCAAGTACCTGGGGAGTGGGTGCTGGGGCTGTGGGCTGGGAGGGACCCCATGTGGCTATGAAATTGGGGCCTGGCAGAGCATGAATTACCCAGAAAACTGTACTTTCCTAGTGTGTGCCATACGTCCTAGATAAGCAGAAGAAAGGAGGTATAGGAATAGACTCCCAAGATAGAGATCCTTCTTATCCCTCTGTTGCGATCATTCCTCCAGGAGGCCCAGTCCACTAGAGAGACTCACCCCCATAATTCTGATGTAAGGGCAACAGCCCTCGAGCAGCCTTAAGAACCCCATGCCGCTCAGCAGCTTAGTGACTCCCAGAAAATCAGAGAAGAGAGAACGCACCAGGGGTCAGAGTAGTGGCTCCCAGGGGGACTTAGAGAAGAGAGCCGTCATTGAAGGGTATTGTGAGGATTTGGGTCGTGAACTGGGTATTCAAGGAAGGTGGAATATGAATCTGAAGAGGAGAGAAGACTTTCCAGGGGAGCAGCATGCTTTTGGTGTGTGTATGGGCTGGAGCTAAGTGAACATGTGGAGGAACAGTAGAGGAGAATGACTTTGGACGTTGTTCCGTCAATCTCAGGGCAGCCATTCTTTATGGCTATTTGTGAACTCCTTTGCTTTCCCCTGGTACTCAGGTTCTTTACGCTTGGTCCTTGGCCTGTTTGTACTTCGACCCTTACCCACCTCTCCAGCTGATCTCCCTTGGACCTGAGCAATAGCTACTTACTACCTTCCATCTTTGGCTGAGGGGGCCAGGCTCTGTTCTTCCTCCAGGTCTTGGCCTGTGGCCTTACCTCTATCTGAAGTGTCCCCCAGTCATCTTCATAAGGCACATTTGCTCTTCTTGAGGATTCAGCTCAGGTATCACCTCTTCTGACAAGGTTAGCAGTCAGTCTCTTGTCTTGAGACTCCTCGACCCTTTGGATATCAGTGATCTTTGAGCGTTGAAACTGAGTCCCAATCTGTTTCCTCACAGACCTGTCCGTCTGGAGCACGGAGACTGAGGCTGGTTCCTCTCTGTGTCTGAGGTGGCCAGATCAGGGCTAAGAACAGAGTATGTGCACAGTGAATTGTGGCTGGCTGGCTGGCTGACTGATCTTTGAGAGCTGGCTCCACAGGCCTGCTCACGCAGGGCTTGGCGGGGCTCTGCACGAGGGTGTGGCTAGGTCTGTGCTCCTGGAAGACAGCATGTCAGCTGTCAGAGTGCATCTGAGGCTGCTTGCTGGCCTCAGCAAATGTAATGTGAAGGCCCGGCCAGGCGAGGCAGGCGCTGACCATGAACAATTGCTCTGTGAAGTTCACTAGACTTTTTGGTGTCTGGCTAGGCTCCCTGCCTCCAGGTTCCTTGGCAGAGAGGCAGGAAAACAGCCGACCCGTGTGTTAACATTGCCACCCAAGGCTACCTTGATGCTACTGGGGTTGGAGGCAAGCTGTCCTGAGCCTGTTCAGCGTGATTCTCTGCCAGACTGTGCCGAGCCATAGGAGGGAAATGGGTACAAGTGGAAACTGGAGACTCTGTTCCCAGTTAGCCTTGTGACTGTGTCTTGGTAGGTAAACTGAACAGATCTAGGAAAAACAAGAGTGGCATGAGGCGAATGGCATTAGAGGGGTCTAATCCCTTCCTCTCTGCCCTCCAGACACATCATGTTCCACATGTGCCTGAGGGCCCAGCAGGAGAGATGACTCAGTTCCGGACTTTGGGCCAGTCTTTGCCAGCAGCCATTCAAGACAGAGAGGCTGCAGGGCCCTGCAGGTCCAGGGGCATGGTGATCTTTCTGACCTTTTTACGGCATGGGTTAGTGCAGGGTGCACAAAGATTCCCGCTCCCTTAAAAAGAGTAACAATAAAAGCAAGCCAGAGAGGTCATTGCCAGGGTTGCGTGGGTATTGTGTAACGTCTTACTCCATGCCCTTCTTTCCCCCTGTGTGACCAGGCCCTGGCTGTCTCCAGAGCCGTCTCCTGTCCTTGATCTTACTCTTTCCTCCCTACTTTCCTTCCTTTTCCTCTTCTCCTCAACTCCGCAAGCAGAACTTTTGCTCATGGAAAAAGTAGGGGCAGGGGTGTCTTGGTCTGCTTGGCTGCCAAGACTTGCCCATTGAGTGAACTGGGACTGAATTCACCATCCCCATTTCCTAAGGCCTCTCCTGTCCAGAAATGGTGTGCACTGCATCAGGGAAGAGTAGCCTTTCAGTGGCCAGGCTGCCACATCGCCTGTCTCCACCCACTTCCCCTGTAGCAGAGTGGAGCAAGCCAGTGTTTGCTGACATTTGGAGTATCATTGAATGATCTTACACTCTTATTGAACTGTCAGCTTAGAGAAGACATGGGGCCCTGCTCCCAGCTCCCTCCAGGAGGTCAGAACTGTCACTGAGGAACCAGAAGAACACACACACACACACAGAGGTGCATGAATATACACGTGTTTACTCAAGTGAATGAATATACCCAAGTAGGCATATCCAAAATTGTATGTATGTTTCCATTCATACATATGGGTGTAAATACATAGTCACATACTCACCTTCAGAAATATATGGAAATACACAGGCACGAATGTTTATACATATTCATAAAGCATGAAGACACATGGATATATATATAAAAACATACACATCTTTGGGTGGGAGGATGGGTTAGCCTGGTGGTGGGTATTGAGGAGGGCACATTCTGCATGGAGCACTGGGTGTTATGCACAAACAATGAATCATGGAACACTTCATCTAAAACTAATGATGTAATGTATGGGAATTAACATAAGAATAAACAAACAAACAAACAAACATACACATCTTCATCAGTAAACACGTATTCTTGAGTGCCCTCTGTGTTCCAGGTACTGTACTAGGCCTGGAGATATAACAGAATAGATGGATATTAAATAATTATAATTGTAGTCCAGAGTCATAGCATCATTTCATAAGGGGGCCTGACTTAGGGGGGCAGGGTCAGAGAATGGTTCCCTGAGGAAGGGTGTCTAAGCTGAAATCTGAAGGATGAGTAGGAATTGGCTGATAAACATGTGGCAAGGCCCTGAGGTAAGGAGAAGCCTGGCAGCTTCATGGAACTAGAATGCAAGTTCCATGAAGAGTGGAGAATTTTTGTCTCCTCTGTTCACTGTTCTGTCCTCATCACTTTGAATAGTTCCTGGCACACAGTGATGTTTAGTCATTATTTGTTGAATGAATGACTGCCTGGAACATAGTGAATGTGGGGAAGAGAGGAGAGTGGCGAGGGATGAAACTTGAGGGGGAGGCCACACACACTTTAGATTTTGATCCTTATCCTTAGGGTAAGGGGAAGCTGTTGAACGGTACTAAACATAGGTGAGGTGTCATCTGATGTGCATTTTGAAAAAGCTCTTTTTGGCTACAGTGTAGAGAGAGCTGAGTGTTGATATGGGGGGACCAGTACTGGTTTTTCTTAATGGGGCTATAGTTGGCATCTTGGGGTGGGAGAAATCCTTGTATGGACAACATTGCTGAACTTGTAGCATTCTTGTCCCCCTGTTCACTGAAGGCTAATAGTGCCTCTCTCCAAGTCATTGTGACAGTCGAAAACGCTCCATCCCCACCATATGCACGTACATTTCCAGGGGCCTAGATAGGGGTGGGAGTGGGGAGGTACTGTCCCTGGTTGAGAACCACAGAATTAGACCACTGCTACAGCCCAGGTGAAAGATGATAGTTACCAGGATTGAACTGATTAACAGTGGAAATGTAGAGAAATGGATTAATTCTAGAGTATTAAGTGGTACAGTCAGTTCTGCTATAATGCAACATAGACCTTCTTAAAAATCACCGTGCTATGGTTATAATAAAAAGTTGAAATGAAAATGGGGTTAGAAGCACAATTCTCAAAAACTTCATCAGTGACATATAAAAAAAGATAGGAATCTAATAAAAATGGTAGCATAATTTTACACATGTTAAATGGCTAAGAAATACATAAATACTACAGTAAATACGGCACTCTACCTTGAAAAAACCCTGAAGTTTGCTTGGCAGTGGGCATGAGAAAGGTTGCAGCTTGTGAGTTATTGCAAAGTGGTAGAAGGCGAGTTCTCTGGAATCGGTTGGAAAGTTGTAGCCAGATGGATGCGGCTTATGATACATGTAGTGTTCTAGGAAGCTACTGTATGTTTGAAGTGTAAGCATGTGTGCGTTCTGCGTATTCTTACACAGCTCTCTTCAGCTGCGTATACTTTCCTGTGTTTATCTGGTATTGATGATGAACAAAATCACACATAAACAAAGGCAGAATTTGCATTATGCTAAACTGTTTCCTAATACATTGACTGCATTGGAATGAATGTTCTCTTTCAAAACAAGTATTATAGCAGAACGGACTGTACAATGGACAGGAAAGGGTGATTGATTGGCTGTGAGGATTGATGATG